CCCATGGTCGGGTAATAGTCATTACATATTTTGAAACTATAGTCAACCTATCATTATATCATCTTTTTAAATTACAGTTGTACCTCAGTTCACAGATGCAATTCTCACCACAATTCTGGTTGCAAACCAACCTAGATGAGAACCGAATCAAATTTCCCCCACACAGTCAACATCGACTCTAACTGTTGAATTTGATTAGGTTCTTATCCAACTCAGTTTGGAACCAGAATCATGGAAAGAATCAAATTCATGAACCAAAGTACCACTGTACATTACCAATATATGTCATCTTTTGCCCCTCATGATATAGTCACCTTAGGCTTCTTTGCTGATGCTAAAACTGCTGCATGGCTATTGTTCCTATTTGTCTGCCATATCTTTTTCTATCTTCTTATTTTCAATCTTTCTATACTTTTGCTTTAAGTATGTCTACAGATATGTCTTTTAAAGTCTAATCTGGGAGGACTGTGTGAGTGGAAATTTCAATACCTTGCATTGCATGAAATAGATGAATAGGCCTTCAACCAAGCCAGTAATACAGCTGAAGACAGAAATATTTCAAGGTGGAGGAGTTTCAAAAGGATTTCATAGTAGGCTTTCTTAATATATTCCATTCTGAACTAGCTGATGCCTTGAAAGTTAGATCTGACACTAAAAGATTTACTATGCTTCCAAAACACCTGAGGTGACCAATATGTGGCCAGTTACACTTTGTTTCAACTAGAAAAGGAATATTCAAAAGTCAGAAAAAAGTTTCCTTTCCAAGGAAGTTCAAAGATGGACAACCTTTATGAAATGAGGGGGAAGTAAAAGCCAAGGGAAGGAGAGAGGCTTAGTCATAACATTACTGAACATTCAAACATTCTCTTGGCTCTACACTCCTCAAATTATTACTGAGTAGTTCACTAATTTAAAAGCTTTTTAAAGACTGGCTCTTGGGCCAGGGATATAGCTCAGTGGCATAAGTGCTTGCCTGGCAAGCCTGAGGTCATGAGTTCGATTCCTGGTACCAAAAAAAAAAACCAAACAAACAAACAAAAAAAAACTGAAAGAAGAAGACTGGCTCCTTTCCCAAGAACTGGTAGGTGGATGGATAATACAAATGACCCATGGAAAATAGTGAGAAAATACTCTAGAATACCTTATTGATCTACACCAAGACCCATAAACAAAAACTAGGGCATAAGCCTCCTGTACAGTTGCTCTGCCTGACAGATGAAGTACACAGAACAGTCACAAGGATCCAGAGGACATGTGAACCTTCTCCAACTCTACTGCAGATATTCTGGCAGAATCTTGAAACCACTCATGTACTTCCTTGATCTGAAGATTCTGTATCTTATTTCTAACGTTTAAACAATGGTCTATGACAAATACTACAGCGTACACCATACAGAACTCAACATGGCTCCTGCACAATCAAACAGCAGTCATCGTATGACTCGCCATGGGGGCACTTTCATGGCAGAGCTGTGGGGATGTGCGCAAACATCACGATAACTTCTCCAGAAATATCTCAGAGCTATAATTTCAAGAGATTTTCTTATTGCTCTTCAAGTAAATCATTACCACAAATGATGAAGTGAGATTCTTTGGGGGAAGTGGAAAGTGCGATCATCTGTTCAATGTTTCCAACAACTCAAGGCAAGTGTTAGCACTCCAATTTATAGACAAATCCAGCTGCAAGTCTTCCTCCTGTCACCTCATGAGGATGTACGAGGGAAGGGAAGGTGCATTCTGTTTGGTTTGGGGGAAGAAATTACAGAATCCATTAGACTGAACTGTGCCTTCTCGGGTTCAGAAAATCAGACAGAGCAAGCACTACCTTTGTCGAGCACTGGGAAGATTAGAGAGAGATGTATGCGAGGCTCCTCAGGGCTCCTGTCCCACAAGCTGTTGACTCTTTTCTCCACAGACGGTTCGCTCACAGAGGATGTTGTTACCTCTACATTCACAGACACTCTGGGATGTCAGAGTTTTTATGAGATGTCTGGCTGACATATCTACGGTGGGTGCCTGGCAAGTGTCACACTCTAAGAGGTGTGACACCAGTCCAGGTCTGAATTTCTCAGTCTCACACTCCCAAAGACTTCAATAATGAACCACCAATAATTTGGGGTGACCAGTAAATGAGCAAGTACACACACCCATCTTGGTATTATGATTTTTAAAATATATCAAATGACACCTTTAAACCAATGACAATTGGTTTCTATTTCTGTTTCCAATCAGACTTCTCTTTTGGAATATCCTCTTCAAGAAATGTTAGGCTCTGTAATGAAGACTCTGAAAGCCAAGAATCCCAGATACTACTGCAGAAACCTCAGTATGACGTCCTGTGAAATTCCTGATAAATCATTCAGCTTTGGCTTGAAACCACAGAATGTGAACAATTTGGAAGTGCATCTCTCAAATCTTTACCAAGTGCACCCACATGAGAGGACTATTCACCCTGAGAATTGTTAAAATTCCACCCAGCAAGTCCACAGTAAATTCATCTCATTCTTGCCAGGAGGTGGCTCACATAAAAGTTATGTTAACTTTAAAAGTCCATTTTGAGCCGGGCTTTACCAAGCCTGCCTAGTAATTGTCTTCTGAAAATACAGTCCAAACCCACTAGGCCTCCCGAAGGACAAGAGGAAAACAGTGATGAAAATGAGACTCTAACACACCTAACCCATCTATTATACAATGTGCAGCATTATGTTACTCTGCCAAGCAAAGCCATGGGACTAGGACTTCACTTGTGTGCTACAAGGTTTTGAGCACACTGAGAAGAGGGAAGGTTTGACCATTTATTGAGCATCTACATTGTGCGAGCAATGATGTCCTGTCAATGTGTCTCCCCAGTATCCTCTAAGTAGTAAAATTAACTTCACTCATTAGCTGTGGGGCGCCTACAGCTCAGGTTGACGCCTGATAGAAGTGTAAGAAAGTGGCCCAGTTAGGATTCACAAGTGTCTTTGCTTCTTAAACCAATGCTCTTCTCACATCATACTCAAAATCCCCAAGCCAAGAACCCAAGAATGTTTAAAGGAGCCCATAAAACAAGTATCTCTCCTAGATGGCTACTGAAGCAAGGCTCCTCTCCCACCAAACAACAGATCAGGGATCTTGTCCTGTGCTGGATACACAGTAGAGAAAGCTAAATTCATCTAAAGATGGATTATAAGGCTGTTTACTGTGACTATCAGACAAGGGACTGTTTGAATACACCTGTGCAGTAAAGGTTTCTTGAGATCAGGAGAATGAAAGAAATTATCACCCAATGAAAACAGCAGACTTTAAAGATGAAGAGCATGTCCTCTGGAGTTAACTTTCTGGGTTTAAATCTTATCTTCTCTTTTGCCTCAAAATAATCTACTGTATTTGTGTACATGGGATGTCTGGGTATGGGGAACAGCTGCATGGATGAACAGAGATGGTCGTATACTGGTGTTCGCTGAAGCTGGTCACTGAGCACAGTAGCTACTGCATACTTTTATGTATGTCTGAAATTTCCCATATCAAAAGCTTAAGAAGAAACAAACCTGGGCTCCTTCACTTACTAACTGAATTACATGGACAAATTTGCTGGCCTGCATGAGCTGCCTTGTTCACAAAATGAAGTACTAATCATCCCCACCTCATATGGCTGTGAGAGAAATTAGTGAGTTAATGCAGCTCGGAGGCACTGATACCATCTATGGAGTGACTACGCCCCAGACACTACTCCTGTTCAGTCCTCGCAGCAACCCTATGGGGCAAGGCATGAGGGCGTGGACACACACGGACGTTCCAGAAAGGAGATGTGCACAAGAAGCCGGGTTTGCTCTGAAAACTCATTGTTTATTAGATGGGCCACCTCCCTAAAAGTGCTGTTACCAGTTATTCCCAGGCAGGGAGACTGAGGCTTGGTGGAGTTAGGAAGTCACAGTTCTGAGTGGTAGGCTAAATGCAAATCAGAAACTAAAAACCAAGCTGACGTACTCTTCCTACCATGGACAGGCTGTCCTCTCTGTCCTCCCAGCATGCACTCTGTGAGGAGGGTCAGGCCGCAGCCTGGGGGCCACTGTTAAGAGTGCAGATGACCACAGAGGCTCCCTTCCCACCTCTAAGTGCACAGGTCCTTGAGGCAGAGGCTTTCCGTTTTTTTCCCAGAACAAAAAGCAGCAAGAATCTGAACCAAGTGAAGGGGAGGAAAATAGAAACCTAAGAGGAATTTTAGGCCAGCAGCCCCTAAATTTAATAAAACACTTTAGTAAATCTCTTTACAGCAACTGGCACTTGAGAGAGCACACGGAGCCACCAAGTCTCCCCAGAGCTCTGTGGAACCTCAGGCCTGTCTAGGGCTTAACTGGTGTCTTTCCTTTCCTTTTCCGGCAAGACTCACTCGGACAGTCCAAGTCCCTAGCAATGGCCGCTGCCATCAGTGAGCAAGGCATGCATCCACCAAGTTAGAAAAGGACTTCTCTCCCCACAAATCTCTCTGTCATCAGCAATGACAGAGCAAAGAAACCCTCAGAACAGTTATCACAAATCTGACTTCCAAAAAGGCTGCTCCATCAGGAACCAGGACCTACGAGGCATGCTGCGAGAATAAAACGAAGCAGCCTGTCCAGCACAGTAAATCTGCATTGAAAACTCAGCTGGAATGCCAACAATTTGCATCCTTTCAGGGTGCAAGCCTGACCTTTATGCCAGGACCACTTTGCACTGCTGTTCGCAAATGCAGTATTTAAGCAGGAAGGGCTATTGGGGCAAAAGTGCTTCATCATATTCCAATCAGAACTCTCACTTTTCTAAAACAAATCAACTAACACTCACCTTCTGCCCCTCTCAAGATTCCTTCCATAATCTTAAAATGATCCAGTCAAAAGCATCATTCTCCTGGAAGTACATCAGGGAAGAGAAGCAGCGAAAGCTTCTAGGGAAAGGGAAGTGGAGAAAAAGACGCAATGCCCAGAAAAGGGGCCCCAGAGCCAGCTAGCACCTTTCGGCAAAACATGATAAACACCCAGTTTAAGGCTAGTAGCTCCTTTATTCAAAAAATAAATATTTCACTTTGAATCAACATATTTCAAATCACATTAAGCAGAAAAGAAATATAGTCCCTTTGGAAATTGTGAACACATATAAGAAAACATGTTGCAGACAATGGGGATGAGGTGAGTACTATTTCCAGCTGCTTCATGACCCCGAGAGGCCTCCTCTCACCAGGCAGAACTATGTATCGATTTTAGGATGGACACACTCACACACACACACACACACACACACACACACACTGCTTTGAAGTCTGAAAGGCACATGAAGTGGACCATAAAGTGTATGGCACGTTCACTGATAAAACGTTCCCTATTCCCTCCCAAGAAAAGTGGAGAAACTTTAATCAAGTCAAAGACCAGAGAGGACAACAGTGCTCCTGCTCAGAGCTCAGCATCAAGAACATCTCTGCATATGAAAGCCATTTTTCCTTCGCTTCCCTGCCCCTGCCCAAGGAGTCCATGCTGCAGTGCTCACTTGGTGATGGCGGGGCGTGTAGCCACATACACGAACACAACGATCAGGAGCACCACCACAGCCAGGGTGGGCAGCACCACTGTGGTGATCTGCTGCCGAGCCTCCTGCATAGCCTGCTTCCGCTCCTTCTTATCCTTCGATGTCTCCTTCTTGGGCTTCCCCTTGAGCTGCCGCATTGTTCCTGGTGAAGCTCAGAGGATGTAGGCAGAGGGGGCTTGGAGCAAAGGCCACACTCCGCTAGTCAAGGCAGGGAGCTCCTGTAGGGAGAAGAGTTATGATCAAGAATGAACAGGATGAATGAAAAACAAATGCAAAGTAGAAGGAAAAATATCTGCGAGAGGTGACACTGAACTCTGAGCCTGAAGGCAACAACTTATTCTCTTCATTGATTCCGTGACTCCTTGAGAGAGGGCTCAAAGCCTCCTGCGCACCTACTAGTGCTGGACATGGCTCCAGATGCTGGATCACGGGCTGGAGAAAGGGCTATCCTGTCCGTACTCACACTGGAGGGTGTACGACGTGCTACAGGCAGAGTGGAGCCTGGCCGAGTGCAAGGTTTCACCACCTGCCCAACTTGTGATTCTCTTGTGGTGAGTTCTGCGGCTCATGGCAGTGCCCAGGGGCCTATGGAATGAATAAAAACCCTTAACAACTATGGAGCAACATGTCTTATAAAAGTTTGCTGATTAGTTTTAAGAACAAAAATAAGACTGGCTGATTTACACTGGGGAGTTTATTCATAGTCTTTGTCATCTCACAGATTCCCTTAGAAAAGACAGATAACCAGACTCAGAAATGGGCAGAACAGGGGATGCCATGAGGCCACAGGTACATGGATGCAACAGATCACATCGTCATCACTGGATGGGAGCACTGACGCAGGAGGTGCTGCGTCATCGCTGCTGCCCCTTCAGAGCTGCAGCTGCTGTCTCATCTCCAGGATGCTCTCCAGAGCCTAGCTTTTTTGTATCGCTCGCTCCCATGTGCATCTAACTTAGGACTTTTAGCAGGCAGAGTGTTCTCTAAACACAATGACAAGCAGGGATGGACACCAGGTAAGGATATAACAAAGACAAATGTCATTATAACCTCCTGGCAGACGAGTACAGGATTAGGAATCCTTGGAAGCAAAACAGCAGTGTTATATACATCAATGTTCCTCGAACAAGATAACTTGTTATGTATACCTGCTTTTGTCCCATAGAATGAGCGGTCAGTCATGGTCGTGATAAGGATGATGACACACATTGCAGTGACTGTACCAGGTAATGGAAAGTAGATTCTAAGGCAGCAAGCCTTTTTGATACCTGTTTTATTACAGGGATCCTAATCTCTTATCAATCCTCTGGTTCCACAAAAAAGCCGAAAACATTTTATTTTGTATTACCCACGGTCTGGCAGAATTTCTTACAGTATGAGATAACTAATATTATTGTGCTAAGATGATATAACACCAGCCAAAAGAAAATACTAAAGTTCCGAGTAGCCCCACTGGACAAATGTGGGACTACAATTTCTATCAAAAAATTAGAATAGTGGATTTTAAAAAAAATACCCACTTGCTATAGTTTGGACCTGGTCTATTGGGAAGTACTTAATGGGGATTCTTTAGGTCACAGAGGAACACGCTCTTAAAGGGGCTTTGGGGACCCCAGCCCCTTCCTTTTCCTCCCTTCTGCTTCTCCACCACGAGAATGACAAGTGCCATACACTCCTGCCATGATATGCCATCCTCCTCACCGCCACCAGAGGCCTAAATGCAGGGAGTCTACCACCTCATGGACTAAACCTCCCCACACTGTGAGCCAAACTAACTCTCTTCTCTTTACAAACTGATTGCTGAAGGAACTTGCTAAGTGACAGAAAGTTGACACAGAAACTTGCTGTCAAGACCTGTGATGGTGTTTCTGTACTGAGAAAACATGGAGAGTCTTTGGAACTGGTTGGCAGGAAGAATTTGGAAGGGTCTGGAGAAACAGAAGAAATGCACAGTGAATGCTGTAATCGGAACTTAGATGGGAAATTCAGTGAGGGTGTAGAAGACCAGAGTGCTCATTAGGAATGTGAACACTGAAGGCTATGCTGATGAAAATTCAGCTGGAAATGAGGATTATATTGGAAACTGAACTAAAGGCCACCCCTGTTCCACTGTGGCAAATAATCAAACAACATTTTGTCCACCTATGCCTTGGACTTTGAGGAAAGTTGACCTTAAAGATGATAGCAACCATTGTTAATTCCTCTCATTTTGTTTTGAGGTCATGTATCATTTTTGTTGTTTTTGTGCTGTTTTGATTTTGTCTTCATTGTTGTTTCATTCATTTTTATTAATCTTTAAAATAAAAAAAAAGATGATAGACTAGTTAAACTGGTATAGGAAATTTCAAGACAGCAAAGAATCCAGATACTGGCATGGGTATTATTGGCTGCTTTTGGCCAAACTTACAGGGAGAACCAAGAGAATAGAGGAGCAGAGCAGAAAGATTTGAGAAATTAAGTTTGGCCAGAAAAGGAGTACACAAAGGCGCAGCCAAGGAGAGTACAGCTGCTGGAGATTAGACTCTTAGAAAGAGGCCAAATAGCTTGGCATGGTGACACACTCCTGTAATCTCAACACTTTGGGAGGATCACAAGCTCAAGTCCAGCAAGGACAACATTGTGACCAAGCTCAGTGTGAATGCCCTAGGTTCAAACCGAGTATGGAGAGGAGCAGAGAGGAGCAGAGGGGAGAGGAGCGGACGGGACGGGAGGGGAGGGGAGGGGAGGGGAGGGGAGGACCCCAACACTTTCCATTAGCACAGTAAGGGCTCAAAGGTACAGAAACAGAAATTTCTTGCGAAGGCTTTCCAGGGCAGTTTTCTGAGAAAGACCCCTGGGCACTCTGCTTGTCCAGGACCACCTTGGGAATCACTGAGTGTTCAGCTATCGAGGCACTCAGAGGCTGGTACAGTCACAGTTAGGCAGTCCCAGGTATAGATCATGCTGGCAGGAAAACTTGGCATCATCCAGGTGATGCTGGTTTTGCAGGCATGCAGAATGCAAGAGTTACGGGGCACCGAGAGATCCAGAGACTTCAAACAAAACTGGGCATTCAGGCAGCATACGGCAGGATCAGAGGCGCTGCAAGCAGTCCCACATGCAGGGCAATGTGTGAGGCTGTGGAAGTGAAACCAAAGCTGCACTGGCAACACCAGAGAATGATAATGCAGCAATATGCAGTGTCAGATGAGGGAAGAAGCAAGGAGCATACAACATCAGCCCGAGAGAGGCCAAGACAAGGCCTCCCATGCCCTCTGGAGTCCCTAAGCACCACAGCATGCTCCTCCACATGTACCTGGGGATTTAGAATTTAATGTTTGTCTTCCTAGGTTTCAGTCTTGCTTTTGTCCAATCCCTCCTTGCAATTTTTCTATTCCTCCCTTTTTGAATGGAAATATTTGCTCGATACCAGTGCATGTTGGGAGTAATTTGCTTTTTCCTTTTATATAGAGGCTCACAGCTAAGAGTGTGCCTTGAGTCTCAGAAGACTCTGGAGAGGACTTATGAGCAATGCTGTAACAGTTTAGGGCTTAGGGGAATGTTGGAGATGGACAGAATGTATTTTTGCATTGTGACTTGGGACCAGGGGCAGAGTGCTAATAGTTTGAATTGAAAAGTCCCCCAAATGTCCATGTGCTAAAGGCTTGTTTCCCAGTCCAGGGCACCGGAAACTTCAAAAGGCAGAGCCTAGTGGAAGGTTTTGAGGTCACTGAGGGTTTGCCTTTGAACAGCAGATGAGATCTTAGTTCCTCCTATTTCCTTTCTCCCTCCCATTTCAGGGAGATGAATGATTTTGATTTTGAGATGAATGAATGATTTTGCTATGCCATGCACTGCCACCAAAATATGCTGCACCAGAGGAGCTTGCACCAGAGGCCCAAAAGCAGTGGGTCTCTAAAACTGTCAGCTAAAATAAACTTGTCTTTGTAAGTTGATTATCTAAAGTGCTTATTACAGTGACAGAAAGCTGACTACAACATCACTATTACTTTCTTAAGGTCAGACAGGTGTAGGAAGCCCTGACTTTACCTTCAGATCTTTCAAAGAACTTTCAGACAGACCTGTGTTTAGGTCAGAATATACCACTTACCAGTTTAATGGCTTTGGGCAAGTGATTAACTTCATTAGGTCTCAACGTCATCATCTGAACAATAAGAACAACTTCCATCTTAACAATTGTGAGGATTTGAAAAGAAAGTGCACCTGCACATGAAACTCTGCCAGTGGCAGTGGGTGCAGCACTCGCTGGCTGGGGCACTTCCGCCATGCACCTGAGTTGGGTAAAGCTTACTGACCTTCTCCAAACCTCAACTGCCGCCTGGGAGGTCATAACAGAGGAGTGTACCCTCACAGGACCACGTACTTGAGGCTGTAGACAAAGAAGGTACCACCAGAACTGACCCCAACTGTCCTGTAAGATTGATGGACAGGCTTTAGCATCCCCCATGCAGACAAGAAGAACCCAAAGGACAAAAAAGGAAAAATGTTTTGCCAAAGGTCACCTGGTCTATAAACAAAGAAATGGCTTCAAAATGAGTAAGGGACAACATCCCATGAGAAGATGACAACAGTCCATCTTCTTCCGGACCCTGTCTCAAAGTTAGTTTAAAAACAAGAAGCCATTAATAGCACTCTGACTCTTGGCCTTTTCCATGTGGAGCTAATGGCTGTCAGACCCTGCAGCTGCCTCGCACAGTGCAGTACAGGTGCCAGGCAGCAACATGGCCCTGCGTTAACAAGCACCCAGCTGCTCTGGCTAACGGTGCTAGGCCTGACTTCCATCTGCTCCTTTAACTGTTGTCTGCATCCTCCCATGCATATGCACTGAATGTTGACATTCAAAAGCACTGGCGTCCACAACGGCCAGCTCTTGACATTTATAAGATGCATTCAGAAGTTCCCAGAGGCCTGGAAAAAAGCTGCGAGTTGCTGGGCATGTTGCAAGTCTGGTCAGAATTTAAGGGACCAACACAGTTCAAATCTGGGGTCCTACATCAGGCCATGGTGGGCATCCTCCCTGTTCTTGTTCACCTGTAGGGTGGCAGACAGCAAGGGCAAGTATCTCTGAGATGACAACTGAAGAGGCAGGTTCTGTATGGACAGAGACTGTCCAGGAGGGGACTGGAAAGAGCACCAGGCCGGGCACAAGTACCTGAACCAGGAAGGAACTACTTTACTGCATGAGAGAGGAACGAGGAGAGGGACAGAAGCACCTGGG